GATACTGAAATAATGCAATAAACATTCATTTAACAACATTAGATGTAAGATTAAACCCTAGTGTACACAACTGATAAGAAAAAAATAAGAAGAAACGTTATTTCAACAAAAACAAAACATCAAATATGAAGTGTCATGCAGGGAATTCTGGGAGTGTCAATTTACGTTTTTTCACTGTAAATTATACAATGACTTTTTCTTTTTCACTTCCAAAAATCTTATTTTTAACAGTATTTTACTGTAAAATTACATTAAATGTAATTACATGTATTCACCGAATATAGTATGGAAACTTACTGTTAACCAGTTAACAGGTTTTTACTGTAGCATTTTTACAGTCTTTTACTGTTAAAATCACAATAATTTTTTACAGTGTATGTTGCTCACAAGCCTTAAAAAAGATTTAAAAAAATAAAGATTCTGTATTCACTCTCATGTCACTCCAAACATCTATGACTTTTCTGTCTCCTGTGGAACATAAAAGAAGATATTCTGAAGAATGCTGGGGTCCTAAGCTCATTGACTTTCATTGTATGGACAAAAAACTGAGACATTTAAAAAAAAAAAATCTTCTTTTGTGTTCCACAGAAGATATGAAGTCAAACAGGTCTGAAGCAACATAAGGGTGTATAAATTATGAAAGAAATGCCAAGTTGCCTGAAATGATGGGTCGTTAACCCAAATTGATAATATTCACAGCATTAAACTACTTGGCACAAGCTGATGAGCTTACTGCTTTACATTTAAATGGCTAGTTAGAATTTACTAGAGCATTTCACAGTGCGCTTTGAGAGTTCCTCTGAAACCCTCCATCTTCCCCAGCGCCACCTGTATTGATCTGCTACGGGTTATTATGTATGCTACTTGTGCAGCAGCAGTATGTCTTAAATACTCACAGCACCGTTTCATCATATGTATTGGCAGTAGCAAATTCCTGTACTTGCAGCAGCCCCAGCAATAATATACAACAACAGCAATACCTAAAATCAACAGCAATTCAGCAGCGTAGCAGCTGTGAATCTGTGTGAATCTGCCCTTATGATTTAATGAGTGAATCTGGTTGAACAACATATTCATTCAAACAAAATAATGAAAAGCCGAAAAGCTGGACATGTCCATGCCAAACTGTTTCTAAACCAGAAGTGAAGGATTCAGAGAAGGAATATGTGTTCAGTAAAACTGTTCATAAATTTCTCACAGGATACAATATAAAAGGTTTGACCTTTTGAGCTACAGTTAGGAGAGTTACTCTGTGTCAAAACATTTTCCTATCTTTGTTCTTCCTCCTGCATAAAAAACATCCACTATGGTTCTTAATGGTATTCGAGGACACACTACACATTTCTCTGTTACCTGTCTTGCAAATTGCTCTCACAATCAATAAATCCAATCAATAGTCCCTCACCGACTGTTACTATGACTATCGCAATTACTACTCAGTCTCAGGATTTCCTGTACTCCTGTTGGCACGCAGCAAAACACTCAACCAAGTGATTTTTATTCAAGAATCATTCTTCTTGCACACAGATTATTTTAAAACTGTATGAGTTGGACCTGCACATCCTTCTGCCGAACAAAAGCACACAAATAAAAGAGATGAACACCAGCCCTGCGAGGCTGTCAGAGACTATGACTCAACAAACAAGCTGTTTTTTCAAATGAAAACAGATCGCTTCCACTCCCCTTCCTCTAACATACAATGACAGGAAACGATTAACAAGAAGTGCCTTGGAGAGCAGTGTAGGGTGTTGGGTCACTGTCTTGTTTAACAACACAGTGCAGCGAACCCATCCTTTTCTAGTTCAGTCATATGATAAGCACGTACTGTGCACTGGGGCACTGCAGAAACCCATATCAATCCTAGTTAATCTAGAGTTGAGTGTTTTAAATGACCGTAAAGCAGCGTATGCTGACATTGGGTTAGGAACTTAAAGCTGGATCCAAAATGGGGATAAAAAGCTGCTGTCGCTGGATCACAGTATAAATGGCCTGAATCCAAATCAAAGCCTGTCCAAAAAACTTTAATCAATGAGATTATGATGCTTTGCTGTTATGGGGCTTGTTTGATTAGAATGGAAAGAAAGAATAGAAAGATGTGCGTGTGTATATAATTTTATACAAACAAAGATAAATGCCACTGACTTTCATGCCACTCTTCAACTAAACTGAGTTATTTGTCAGTGATCTGTGACCGTTTATTGTACCTTATTAAAATACAACTGAATGCTATTTCAACACACCAAAAAGTCGTTGTAATGTGACCTTAAAGTAGGATAGACACGTGTAGTTAGTTGCCATTTAGCTAATGCTCTTCATTCAAACTGACAGCCCACTAATTACAGGAACAGCCCCGCTAGAGTAACCTGGGGTTAAGCACTTCGGTCAAGGGCACACTTGTAACATGGCTGGATTATGATCTAGAAACTCTCCAGGGTCCATTACTGGCTCATGCTTTACTGGGATTGAACCTGTAACCCCTGTGTTAGTGACCCACATCCGGGTGATAATGCCGTTTCCTGACGGTCGGTGCAAGTTTGTCTTCTAAACTTTCCCCAGCGTTGAAGACTGACACGGAAGAGAAGAAATTGTTTGAATAAAGTCATTATTTTTGTTTTCTTTTTGCACAAAAAGTATTCTCGTAGCTTCATAAAATTAAGGTTGAACCACTGATTTCACATGGACTGTTTTAAAGGGTTAGGTTAGAGGCACGTTTTAATATGGATGTATGCGCTTTATTTGACTACTTTTGGACTGTTGAACAAAAACACCCGCCCATGCCATTATAAAGCTTGGAAAAGCAAGGAACATTTTTAATATAAATCCAATTGGATTCGTCTGAAAGAAGAAAGTCATATACATCTAGGATGCCTTGAGGGTGAGTAAAACATGGACTAATTTTCATTTTGGGTTGAACTAACCCTTTAAGTTAATGATGTCCTTACCTTTCTAGGTCTTGAACGTGGTAGTTGCATTGATGTCTTTGCAGGGTCAGAAAGCTTTCAGATTCCATCAAAAATATCTTAATTTGTGTTTATCCGAAGATGAATGATGGTCTTATGGGCTTTTGACCTGTATTTCAGTTTGTAAAAACAAGCTAAAGTTGTAGGGTACACTTACAATGGAGGTCTAGGGAGCAAGGCATTGTACCGGAATAAACACTAAAATAAACACTGTACATGTTTAGATTTAAAAAATTCAAGAGATTTAAGAAAGATTAAAAAAACATAAGATCATACGGCCAATGTACGATGCAGGATATTGGTGCAATAAATCAGCGAATTTGTGAAAATGGTTCATTTACATGAACTGTCGGAGTAAACAAATTCATTAAAAGAAATCAGACAAACTTTATAATGTAACCTATGACAGAGATTGTTGTCAAGACTCTTTTCAAGACCATTTAGAGGAGATAAATAGTAACTTCTGCCTGACAGGCACATGGATAACAGAAAGGGACTATTTAGAACTAGACATAATTTTAGAAATAAGTAAAAGTTATTTTATTTAGCTCAAAATAACACCCAGTTTTGCACTGAATATCAGCACTTTAACAAAAATTAGAGCACATCCTTTAACAATTGTACTACCAATGTTGTGTTCACCTTGGATACTCATTTTAATGACTCTGAAGTGTCTCGCTATTGATAGTCATTTTGTCTTTCTGAATAGGTTTGTTTGCTTGAGCCCTGAATAGGCTTTAATGTATTGTGCTCTACTGTAGCATCATTGCAAAAAACAATAGCAACAGCACCCTGGAGGCTCTTATCACACCTGAACAACCTTTTTTGAAGCCACAATGATTTACTGTTTTACTCAAAGTAAAAATTAGAAGTGCAGATTATCCCCAGTTCACCTGCATGCTTAAAAATATAAACTCCAGTGCTAGTGTCACAATATGAAGTTGCGTAAACACAGATCTGCCTCCTGTACAGCTTTTTATGTATTCAAGTCAACATCTCATGACCTTCAGTTCATGTCCTCCAGACAAAGGCAGGGTTTATATCGGTCTTTCTCGGCTGACCTTTGTGTTGTTTTCCTGATTTAGTCCTATGAGTATTTAAGTGGACCAAACAAATGGAGGAGTACACATCCGTTTCTTAGATAACAAGAGAGAGTCATTGTTTCTCATGACGTTAGCCTCTGATTTAGGTAGCTTCAGCGGTCTAAATCGAGGAGAGAAACAAACATCTCATTCTGCTCCTCAACCATAATTAGCCTTCATAATAGAGAGACGAGTCTATTAGTCACAGACATTCAGCAGGATTTTACATAATACAGCCTGCAGGAAGCACAAAACAACCACTACGACGGCATTATACAACAAATTAGTGTTTAAAATGATAGTTGTACTTGAGACTGAGGCATTAGACAATTCAATTGGATGTCCTCTGAAAAACAAGAAACAAAACAGAGAGTGGACACAGCGGCTATTATGTAAATGATGTTTGAGCATCTGTGAATGTGTCTGGCCTTTCCCTGTAGGAACTCATATATAACACTGCAGGAAGGCTACAAAGGAAAGAACTAAAGTGTTTGAAAGGAGCAGTAGAGGCCTGAGGTGTCGCCTGACTCCTTCGTGATGTCTCAAATGCGCAGCACGTGTGGGCGGAACACTAACCCCCGGTCTAAGTGAATTATGAAAACAAAGAGACACATGTCCGCTGCCGTGTTTGCTCCCTCTCTTCCTGGTGGACGTCTGTTTTGGTGTTTTAATTGAATTTGCTTCTTGCTTGCATCCAGTGTGACGGAAAAGAAAAAGACGAAATGATGATCTAATGTTCTTGGTTGCGTGCTACGTGCCATACGCTGTAAATCAACCAGACGTTCAGATGCCAGTCTGCACACCCACAAAATGCACATACAATTTCTTTCGTTATGTATGTGACTGTAGATGGAGAACTTAAAAAAACTAGGAGGAGGAGGATGTGAAACTGTTGCGAAAATACCAGCTGGCTTTTTACAATATGAATGAAAATGTCACCAAAATAGGGCAACAGACCTGTTCGAAATGTGTAGTAATGAAAAATCGAAAAGCATCATTGCAGGGAATTTGCGTTCCAATCCTTTCCAATCATTGTATATTTAGAATGACAATGAGAAAAAGATGGTAAGAAAGAAAATGTCCAACAATTCCAATGTGATGTCAACTAGTCAAACTTTTCTACAAGTGTTTGTCCTGCTGCCCATAAACATCGAGAGAAAAGTGAGTTAAGAAGGAAATCAAGTGATTATTTCAATGAATTATTTCAATAAAAGTTATTTCAATAAATTATAAAATAATTTTGAAGTTAGTCCAATTATATTTAGTAATTATGTAGAGTTGCCAGTGTGGAAGGCAATATCAAAAATGTGAAAATGGGCAAAGAAATGTGTAATGGAGAGATTTTAATAATAATACTTTTTGTGAAAACTTTTTTTTTTATGGATAAGTTCAAAATAACAACATTTATTTGAAACAGACATCTTCTGTAACATTATAAATGTCTTTAGAGTCACTTTTGCTGAATGTAATATGTCATTGCTAAATAAGTTATTTCAAAAATAAAATAATTGTATGTATAAAATACAACAATAAAAAAAAAAATCATATCAACCCCAAACTGTGAAACAGTATTTAAAGGGTATTTT